TCCTCAGTGCATCTCTCTGTCTAGGGGATGTTTTGGAGCTTCTGGTGACAAATAACATAGCCCTTCTCTGGAAGACCTTCAAATGGAGAACAGGATTGGAAATATAATTTACCCTTCCCTGGAAGTGAACAGTCATCAAAGTAAATAGGACCACGCTGTACCAATGGGGTAAAGCTGGCCCTCTGGCTGGGATGGGTGACAGTGCATAGTTTTAAAGATGGCCACAATACAGAGACTGCCCATAAAAACAGCAGCAGAAAGATGAACAAGCATAAAAAATGGATAGTGAGCCTACTCATCACAGGACCTGCACAAAAAATGAACAGAGTGTGATAGGTGTGATATCAGACACAAGAAAAAGGGATACGGTTACTACCTGTCCAACTGATACGCACAAGATATGGTTGTCTTTGAAATGCTGGTACAGCAGGCTCAGTGCATGGTGATGATTCAGTCTCTGGAATAATTTGAAATGGCAGTCACGCTTCTGAAAGAGCACAAAGTCCTTATCTCCCTTTTAAAGCAAAATAGCTACAGTACAGAAAGAGAGAGGGAAGGATGGAAGGCTGAAAAGCATTACAGTAATGCATATCAATGAAAAGCTCTTCTTGGCTGAGGCACCTTCCCACAGGCTTCACCAGTTCCTCCAAGTACCTTTGGTGTTGATCTGGGAACGGGTATTTATTCTCAGTAGCAAAAGCAAGAACAAACACTTGCCACTGCCTTGCTCTTGCCCAATCAATCTGCCGTACAATTGTCAAAATTCTCAGCTATCCACCTGTGCTAAGGGGAGGCCAGCACACAGAACAAGGGTGGGACACGCCTTTGCTATGGTCCATCTTCAGGGCTGAGTGAAGAAGCTTGCCCCCAATATGCTTGGGTTTATTTATTTCCAGAGCTATGTCCTTCCTGACTTTTTAATAAATGTAAGGCCCCAATTTTTAAGGAAAGAGGCTTGGGGCCATTAACAACCTTAAAGGAAATAAATCGTTAATTAATCTGGAGAGAGAAGCTTTCACATAGGCTAGGGACAGAAATTACAGATAAACTGGTTTGTCATCAGAAACTGGTTTAAACATCTAACAGAATAGAAGTTCAGTGCACATAAACCAGTTTCAAAATGGCTGAAACTGGTTTAAGATAAACCTAGTTGAATGTAGTATCAGACTTAACTGATTCGGGTCAAACCAAACCGGATTATGAAACTTCTGTCCCAGACCCCTTCCTGGTTCAAGTTCAATCACAGTTCTCCAGCATCCCAGCATGCTTTCCAGCCCAGGACTGGGCTATTCTATCTCTGCTCCAGCAGAGAAGGGTTGGTGAGGGCGGGTGGAGGCAGGCACCATTCCTCCCCAGCAAACCCTAACTGGGGTCTGGGGTTGGAGAAGTGGCTAAAATTCCCTTCCCCTGAGTACAGAGATGCCCTGACCTGATGAATTTACTGCTGGCTGTGACTGTGGACTACAAATCCCAGAGGCGCCTGGAAGCATGAAGAGGAAGTGATGAGCAACCCTGCAGAGTCCTATTGCCGTAATTCTGGACTGAAAATCCCAGAGAGCTTGGGGGCAGCAGGAAGAGGAAGCAAACATACAGCCCATGCTGGCTATGTGCCAGAGACTTGTGCTCTAGCTCCCCTCAGCTTCTGGCCTGAGCCACTGCAGGCATGTGGCTGCATTTCCTGAATCAAAAGTGAATGTCTGTCCAGTTGTTTCTCAGTTTCATCTCTGCAGCTTAGACTAACCTGCAGAGACTTAAATGATTTAGCTTTGGGCTTTTTGACTGTCTGTACTTAGCCATAGAGTTGGTCTGGCTTTGGAGGTTCCTTCCAGCCCTACTTGTCCATGACTTTATTTTTAAAAAAGGCACAAATGGCAAAAGTAGCTGTTTCCATATAACCTTTCAGATGTTTCCTGCTTAATGAAATAAATGTTGCCATTGATTACAATGAAAACCGAATCAAGCCCAGATGAACTGAATATGGAAAAAAACCCAACTAAGTCAACAAAGACCTTGGTACCTGCTGATAGAGAATCTGGAAGCTGATACACAGAGCTGGCATGAAAAGGCTTGAAGGGATTCATTTTATAGCCCCAGGGACAATCGGAATACTTCACATTCTAAACAGGTTTAAAAAACTGCACTCGAGCTGAAGAGAAAAACAGATGATATATCCCCATTTCAGGGCCATAAGGTCAGGTTTGTTATGCATTATTATTATTTGTACAGCACAACTGTAGTGCAAGACTAAAAGGGAAGTGTACACACTCCCCTGACCAGAGAAGCTTACAGTGCAAATAGAGGGACAGCTATAGGGAGACTAAGAGAATAGGATAACTCAGCATACTTTTATTTGTGTATTTTAATAGATGAAGTAGTAAAAGGATCGCTTTTATTAAGGTGATCTGTTAAAAAAAGCTCTTCCATCAAGAGCTAGTTGGGAGATTCCTGTGCATTCCCCTCATGCACCATCACCAGGAGAATGTTTTGATTAGGAAATAGGGCTGTATTCTAAATAAACTGAACTGCTAATCTTGTGTTCCCAAATAGCCTTTTTATCTTCCTTTTTTACCCCACAACCTATTCCCTTTCTCCTCTTTCTGTCCATCTGTTTCTACCATTTCCACTATTTCTTCTATTTGTTTTCCTTTGTCTTCCAATGTTTCTTTTCCTGTTTGGCTTTCCTCCCTACTTCCCTGCAGTCCCACATTTGTAGTTCTTCTCCCACTCATCCTTTCCCACCTATTCTTTGAGTCCCCCTAGAGAACAATCTCTCTCTCCCCACCCTTCTCTCTTTCTTTTTTTTTTTTAATCACTCTTCTCCCACAGTTTCTATCTTTTTCTCTTTTCTCCTAATGTTACACGGTGGCCGCATCTGCATGTGCACTTTGCTGCAGAGTAGACTAATTAGCTGCAGAGTAAAGCGACACATCTACACATGTGATGCTATTAGGCTGCAGTAAACTAATTAACACTGCTGTAAATTAGTACTATGGCGGGAAGAGTGAAAGGGATTGAGTTGGGGACAGTACTATCTTATGGAGGAGTAATTAACTGAGATTAAACGAATGTGTAGACGTTGACCATGGGTGTAAACTGCACCCAGTCAGCCCAGACAGCAGGAGGCCAGACTCCTTCCTAGCACCTGGCTCTCCACTTTCAGCACCCTTGTGAGCCAGCCAGCTCCTCTGTCACCCATTTCCTCCACCAGGAGCCTGTGGCGGAGCAGGGCAGGAGTGGCCCTGGGGTAAACTGCTGCGCCCCAATTCAAATTGCTGCTATCCCAGGAGCACACATAGATGCTGTGCCCAGGAATAGTTTATTCCATCTCAAACTGCTTCAGAGTTTATTGCTTCAAATTAATTACACATGTAGATGCACCGTCACTGTTTGTCTTCAAGATCTTTTTCCCTTCCCAGTTCTTCCAATTCCAGTCCCCTCTGGCTCCTCTTCCTTCTCCCTTCCCTTCAGCAATTGATTTACTTCTTCCCCCCACCCACAGATTGACTGGCTCCTTCTTTTCCTATCTTTTCCCCATATCTCTCTCACTCTTCCTGCCAGACTTCCTGGCAGGCTACCATCACTCTGCTTTCTTTCTTCCTGTGTTCCAGGATTCAGTCCGGGTCTCCCCCTTCCTCTGATGCCTGCTACACTCCTTAGAAATGCCCCTCATCCCAGCCTTCCCTATGCTGTGCTCCAAGATCCCCTGCCATGGCATGCTCCAGGACCAAGTCACCAAGAGTGCAACCTCTTCAGGGGTTCCTGGCTGCCTCTCTCTGCAAATGCTGATGCCTCTTTCTCAGCTATTATTGCTGTTATTATTACTGTTAAACCACAACTTGATCCACATCTAGTGCTGCTGTCTCATCGACTTGCCAACACTGACAGAGGCCAATCAACCATCCACTAAGCAGTGGTTATGATGTAAGCCTGGGACTTGAAAGACCTTTGTGCTAATCCTGATTCTGCCACTGACTTCCTGCATAGCCTTAGGCAAGTTACCTTGTCTCTCTGCCCTGATTCTCAGCACTACTGAGGTGCTTCATGCTTAAAGGGAGTTACCTTTAAGGATCTGGACTGTTGCACTTGTTTCCTAGTCAGGAAATGGAGGCAGTAATAGTTCCCTACCAGGTAAGGGCATTTTGGAGTCTGAGCCCTCTGTAGTCACTTATTTTTGACTACAGAAAAACACTACAGTAATTCTTCTGTTTCAAAGAATGCAGAAAGATCAAAGACCACAACAGGTCAGATTGGTTTTAACACTGGGGATTCCTATTCAAAATCTCTGGGTTTATCTGTTTCTGTGGCAGAGGTGCTGGCATGAAGTGCAGCATATCCCTGTTGCCTTCAGGGAGCCACAGACAAGGGGCTGAAGGCAGAATCTGCTAGGTGGTCTCCAAGGCAGGGCAGAGTGATGGAAGGCTACAGGGCAGCGTTAGTGACCTAGGATGGTCGTTCTTGATCTTTTTAGACTCGAGGGACCCCTGGATACACTTGAGGAACCCTTGGGCAGCCTCGAGGAACTCCTAGATATACCTGAGGGACCCCTGGGAAGACTTGAGGGACCCTTGGAAATCTCCAGCTCTTCCTTTTCACTTCTGTCGGACTACAGAAAAACAGCAGAGCAGGTCTGTGGTATTGAAGCCCGCAGAAAGCAAGCCCACAGCCCGGCAGAGCGCCTTTAACACTGCGGATTCCTGCTTGAAACCTTGGGGGTTTCCCCGTGAATCCTATTTGCACTCCTAGGGTCGCTATACCAGCACCCTCGAGGGGCTCTCGAGGCACCCCAGGGTGCTGCAACCCCCCCTGAATCAGAGACTTGGGACTGCGGGAGGAAACCCAGCCAGTGCCCTCCTCCCCGCAAGCCCCCCCCCGCCGTGCCCCTCCGCGCAGCCCTCGCCCCCTCCCGAAACTTCTCGCGCAAGTTGGGGGGCGGGAAGGTCACTTTGAGGCGCGGCCGGGCTGCCCGGGGCGCTGCGCCAGCGCGCGGGGGAGACACTGACCTTCCACCTTGGTGAGGGTGAGCACGGGGCTGTTGCAGGCGCTGAGCGGGGCCACCCTGGCCGAGTGCTTCTTCATGGCGAGCCCTGGAGCC